ACCGACATCCGATAGAATTTTAAATGTAACCGCCCCCCCCCCTTCCTTGTTTCGCGTGATCCCCCTTTTTGGAAACAAAAGAATTTTTTATCGATAATTAATAAGCTCGACGGAGCTTTCTCCAAAAGCGTTATAGTCGATTGGGGAAAATTCAATTTCGAGTTAACTACCGAGGATATATTGAAATAAATATATTAAAAGAAGGAAAAAAAGAGAGAGGAGAAAGAAAAAGTAGTATGCTTCGAGGTTTAATAAAACCCTGGAACGGTTTGTATGGGACGGTGTTGGGAAGGGTTTCGTTCGTTCGTTCGTTCGTTCCTTTATTTCTAGCCTTCGATTCGATGCTTTAACATTTGATTCCCCGCGAATTTTAACCTTTCGCGTTTAATTAATATAATCCGTGCAGAAGGAAAAGAAAAAAATATTTCGAGAAGAGAGGATTTCGAATGATGAAAATATTATGTCTAGATATCCTCTGTTTTTCTCCTGAAACGGTATCAGCTTCGAAGAGTTAATGAACATTAACGTTACGATACGTGATTGGCGACCTCTCAAAAAGATCCTGTAAGGATCCACAGGTTGGAAATCCGCGATTTTAAATCAAACTCTCGTCGATAGAACAAGGTTCGGTTTGTAAAATACAAGTAGAGAAAATAGAAAACAATCCGGCAACACTTTGAAGTCCGACACCTTTGCGTGAACTTTTATTTATGAAGCGAATCGTTGTGAATTGTATATATATATATATATATGGATCTAGGTGGCGACTGGTACGAGGAAAGGGTTGTTGCAAGAAGAAAGGAGCACGAACGGCGTCAACGAATAAAGGGGTTGTGGGATGGGTCTGTGGAAACAGGGAGGAAAATAAAAAGAAGAGGGAGGGGGAAAAAAGGAGATGGGAAGAAGGAAACAGAGGCGAAAGTAGCGCGCGGAACGGCATTACGTAGGTGCAAGAAGAGAAAAAGGAAATGGAAGAAAGCGGCGAAGCTGAAGGCAGGCAAAAGGGGGAGAGAGCCGCAAAGGCCACAGAGTCACCCAGTGACTGCACCTACACCCTGGCCCGTCTCCAAATCTACTCTACAAGCTTTTTCTATTTTAGCCCCTTATTTTTCCGTTCTTCTGATTTATCGTTTTATTGTTCACCAGCCGGTCTGACGACCGCTAAACCTCGCCCACCCTTTGTTCTACCCTCCTACTCGTAACAACTCCTCCATCCTTTTTTACACTCCCCCTTTGCACGAGGTCTCACCTCTGATCGACACGTAACGATGCTCGTCCAACCTCACCTACCATCCGTGGATCCACAAGTCTTTTGGCACAGAAATATCGATTCACACGATGCTCTTACCGGCCTTGTATCTTTTTGACGCGTTTAACGAGCGTCGAGAGTCATTCTCGATTCTCTTGTTTTATCTTCACCTTTGCGTTGCGTTAACTCAAAATTATTAACGCGTGTCGAACGTGTAATCCCTCTCATCTTACATTATTTCGATCTCCAATCGACGATGAAGAATAGCAAAACAAACATTAGAATTATTCCGATATTCGAATAATCCGCGTTTCCATTAAGCGACGTTAGAGGAATTGGTTAACCGGAATGGACACTTTATCTCTCGAGAAATCGAAGGAGGAGAATAAGTTTTGTAAGCATTGCTACTACCATTACTACTACTACCTCGTAGACACTTTCGTGTCGCTTCTTTCAGTCGCGCTGTCAAATCATGAAAGATTCTCCTTGTCGCCGGGCGAGGGCAAGACGCGTTTTCCCATCTTGGCTGGATACCCGCCAAAATCACCGTCCCGATTCTCAACCGTCTTCCATATTCGAATTCTAGCATCTAGTCCACTTGGTGATCCGACTATCCTAGACTCCCCCTCTATCTTTTCGTAGGGAGGCTCGAGTGAACTCGACCGTATTGAGAACCATCGTGGGAACGTCGATCACCGGAGGAGAGTGCTTCTGCGCCTCGTTTGCCAGATACCAGCGGCAACAACATCGGATGCAAGAACATCTTAAATCAGAACTAACAATAAACTTACTTACTTACTTCACTCGCTTACTTTCTCCTACTTTGCATTCCGTATTCTTTTTTCTTTTTTTTTTTTTCTAACTTTTTACATCTTTCGTCGTGATAACGCAGGAATCCGCAAAGAGGAGAAAGTTCGACGACAGAAACGACCTCTGGTTTAATTAAATAACCAGAGCAGAATGCCTTTTTTGCTCGAGAAGCTTTGTAACGTTTACTTAAGAATATCGAAATTTTTTTATTCGCGACGAAAAAAAGAAAAGAAAGAGATAAAATTTATTGCGTCACCTCTCTTCCGGATCCCGACTTTACCGCGTTAATTTACGCCCTGTATCGAATGGGGAAAATTTCGTAACGCCATTCGAAACAGGGAGGGTCGTAAAAGGTGCAGCGTCACGGTCCGTTTTCGTGAACACGCTATGTTTTTCCAGCTACGAGGGGGTGGCTTTTAACTTTAAGGCGGGCCCCCCGTTTCTATTAATTCGAATTACGGTCGGACTTTGCACCGCGACGCGGATACGTGCGACGTCTGTTTAACGACGTTTCAGCGTCGTTTGTATGCCGCGCGTTCTATTCTCGGCACCGTGCAACCATTCCGAAATAAACACGATTATACGCGGAGACTGGCGCAAATTTCGAACTGGTGCTATTTCTTCTCCTTAAACGAAATAAAAATGTAAAAGGGGAAACAATTCAAAGGAGAAATGTATATATATATATGAAATCCGTTGATCATCCCATCCCAGTTATGATTTTTTCATTTAATTAATAAGAGTCCATGTGAAAGAATTTTGCAAGTATATAACAAATAACACTTAATTTTTTTTGCTTATTTTGTATCATACATACGATTGCATTTCTGTTTATATTCGTGCAAATGGAAGTAGTTCGGGATAAAAGGAGAAAATTTGAATAATCAGGCAATACGTGAAAACACAGTGTATTCCATCTTTTAAGAAAATAGAAATTTTATTTATCCTAACGCATTTTAATTATTTCATCTTGTAAAACGGCCGATCAATGTCGTTATACCGATCGTTTCAAGTTTAAATGACAGTTTGAGCGTGAAATTATCATTATCGAAGCAAAGAATTCTTAATTATCCGTTAATTAATGATAAAATCGATACGCTCTTCCATGAATTGGCCGCATAGTTTAAAACGTGCCAAGTTATCCGCGTCTTTAAAACGCCGTCTTCGCCCGCCCGGAGATGATATTCTATTAATTTGAATCACGAACGGACTTTGCGCCACGTGCGACGTCTGTTTAATTGCGATCCCGTGTATTTGGCGAATGCCACGAATTTAATGTCTATGCCGTGGCCGAGGGTATCGAGAAGTGTCCCGGAATATTCGAAAATTTCGTTAAATTATTTCAAGTTCAGCGTGCGTGCAGTGTTCAACGAATTCGTTGAATTTTTATAGTGATTCTCATATCCAACGGATAAATTCCGTTACATGCGAACACGAATTTTTAATAATCGTTGTCGATGCATCAACGATCGATTGATAATTTTCGAACGATTCGATACTGAGATATTTGACGGCTGAACAAGTGAAAAGTAATTTTGAAAATTTTAATTTTCACTTGCTTCGTATGCTTCATAAGGAAGCAGTAATTAAAATAACGGAAATAAAAAATAGGAAGAAATTTTGGACTTTGCTTTTTTTAATAATTGATAACTGGAGAGAGAATCACAAGTCTAATTAATAGAAAATGGAACCATACTGTATTAGTTCCAATTTAAAACAAACAATCCAATATTGAAATCAGAGGATATAAAAATATACGAAAAAAATTCTTTTCTCAAATATTAATTTCTCTTAAATATGAAAATAATTCCCGTGCGATTTATGTCGTATATCTAAACGGTATAAAATACTCGAGCAATCTTCAGTGCGTGAAAGCAAGTTTCATCCAGAAGCGCATCCCCGCCGTAAGTTTGTGAACCGTAAATCTTGCGGGGTTGAATCTCACCTGCGAAACGTTTATGGCTAATAAACGCAAATACTTGGCGCATTGCTTATGCGAATATTGATACGCATTAACTGTCGAAGCGATAGGAACATTGTCGACGACAATGGTGGGAAGAACGGCGCCGCAAGCATCTTATTGAACAACGATATTAATACTCCGTGTGCGTGGAAGTTTGCAAACGATGCTGGGGACGCGTAATCGCGTGAAACATCGGAGCAAGGGTTGGATTTAACGACTCGCCAGATTCCTTCGCCTCATCTCATCTATTTCACTCCCGAAATCACTTCTGCGATTGCACCACTCAAATTAGAGAGGCATTAGAATATCTACTAATTACAATACGAAAAATCGTATTTACACGTTTTCTGTTTCTTTAATTTTTACTGTTTAAGCGAATTTTTATTTCAGAGATAAGAAAAAAAAAAGAAAATATCGATAAATATCAATTTTTGCTCGAGTTACCTTTCTTTTTCCAAAGATAAGAAACGAATATTGAAAGGAGACCGTTTCGTGAGGCTAGACGTAGCATAAGACGGCATAAGTTTTAAAATTTCATAAAACCACTTTCAATATTTTTTTTTCAACGGTGGATAACACGAGAAATGCTCGCTTCTTTACCGTAAACGGAAAAATTATTTAACACGGCAAGCGGCATAAAAAAGAAGGGAGAAAAGCAGGTGGCGCGATGTGCACACGAACGCTGGATGATGTACAAGTGTTAAGTCGCGCGCGAGAAGCATGCACGTAAGGCGAGGGCGTATATTTCGCGCGTGCAATCCACCAGTATGGAAGAGAAATAATATATAACGAGCGGGAGAAGATGAAAGTGGTGGTGGAAAAAAATAAGAGGCGAAATTTGCCGAGAATCAAGGAGAAAAGTGTACAAACCTTGCTGGTTCTTCTTGACGTGCCCGCTCTTTTTTCGCGGTTAAGCTTCGAATGGACCCGTCTCTCCTTTTGTTCTCGCACAAGTTCCCCAACTGAACGCGTGGCTGTGCCTCTGAAAATATTAACGTACATCTTAAGAAAGCCATGGTTCCTCCAAGTTTTCGCAGTTTCAAAAGTTAAGACGACGAACGAAACAATTCACGTGGCTCGACTCGTTGCCTCGTGTTCTTCTTTCAAATTGACTGCACGACCGATGACGCTTTAAGATGTGAAAAATGAGTTGGATGTTTATTTATACCATTTGTTCATTCTCTTTGCTTTCTCTTACCAATCTTACTTTCGTTAGATAAGTCATTAATATAGGTAAATATTTACGAAAAGGTAACCACTTTCCATCTTGATGATTTTTTATTATCTTCCTGGTATCTGTTATTATGCTGAAAAATTTATGAAAGTTATTTTAACGTTGTTTATTAAAAAGTTGTTAATTTAGCCTAACCTAACTCAAACTAAATCATAAATCATGAAACCAGAAATTAAATAAATTTTTATTTGACATTAATTAATTTGACGTTAATAGTTATTTCTAAATTTACTTTCGCGTCAAATTAAAATTAAATAAAAATTCATTGTATTAATTCGATTTAATGGTTTGCATTGGGTTTTTTGAGGTAGTTTTCCTAATCCAGCCATTTTCTTAATCCGATCAATTGTATATAAAATTATGTTTGATCTAACTTAATTTAAATTGTTTTAAAACAATTTTTATTAACAACTTTTTCTACAGAATAGTGATCTTGATAACATATCAAAAAAATATCAAACTCGAAGAATGATAAATAATTTTACAAATAATTAGTCCAATTTTTCAAAAAAAAAATATATATATATATATATATTATTCAAGTCATGTTAATACATTTAATCACAATTGATTGTATTAAATTTAAATTAATATCATATTTATTTCATAGCATAACGAATATTTAAAATATATTTTCGTTGCGATTCAACCACACGTGTATCCTGCAAATGACAGTGCGATACGCAAAAGAATACGTGTACGTAAATGAAATATGATTTTTGTCACGTAACAGTTTCGATGCATTAGTTACGCTGTGTTAAACTTCTTGCATGTAAAAAAAGAAAAAAACCAAAAGGATATCCTTCTCGTGGAACCATAGTTATTACAGTAAAAATAAATTATTATATTACTTCATAACGTGTTAACGTTATCCGGTTACAAAAATGATTATTTCTGCGTACAAGTTGACTTATAGTCGATCATTATCAGATTAATATTCGAATATCGATAATATTAATATTTCTATATCTAATCTTCTGGAGATAATCAACAACATGAACGAAAAGTTAAACGATGAGATTTCTTTCAAACAACGAAAATCAAAAATCATTTAAATAATAATAATTACGTTTTGTTTTCAGAAGCTGAAGATTATTGGGAATATTTCACGTTCAAAAGAGGAGAGGAGAAAAATAAAATAAAATTAGAGGGCGGAAGAGCGGAAGAGATGACATCCGACATGTAATTTATACTCTTCACTCTCTGTGACGATCTTGCAATCCTGATGACACCGATACGCGCATAATGAATTCTCCAAAACTCTTTGATCTAAATTTTTGATCAAAGTAACTTGGAAATTGGGGAACGATTAGATTTAATCCTGTTAAAATATTTCGCATTCGTTCAAATTGAAAAATCTTCAACGTCAATCTTTTAATTATTTGAATATTTTATAATAATCTCGACATTATTTTATAATTTTGTTAATTCTTCTATCTATTTAATATATTTGCAAAGATTCGAAAAGAAGAAATTTTGTATTATAAATATGTACTTATGTACGAGTGTAATTTTATAAAAGAGAATGCGCGTGTCAGGAAATAGGAAAGTACGAACAATTTCATGAGCCTGTTATCAGTGTCAGCACGTTATTTTAGCAAATGCTGTTTCACGTTAAGGCGGTCATAAATGGGAACGGTGGCCAAAAGCCGAAGATTAATTCGAAACTCGAATTTGATCGCCAAATGTTGATAAAGAAAAGCGGGGAGTGGTCTGTAATTCCAGAAAATAGCGACAAATGGATGCGTGCCAGGAATCCGTGTAGCCTGACCCACTGGGTCAAAATGGACACCGGCAAAAATCCAAATTTTCAAAATGCGTCAAGTATTGTTAACGTCTGTACACGGATAGCCGACGAGTTCTCTATTTTAGAATGAGTGGAGCAAGAATAGAGCAGCGGTGAATATCATTGACGTTAAATGGCTCTCAATTTACCTTGAAAATCGGAACGTTTGAAATTTATAGAAACTCATGTATAAAATATATGCCTATATAAAAAGCCCGAAAAATGACTAAAATTTATTCTGACTGGGGTCGTTGATGACAGGAGTTCGTGTTACGTTTGAACTAAATCAATTATTTTTAATTTTTATTCAGCATTTTGCATAATGACAAAAATTATTATAATTATTATAATGAAATACTATAATCGAGCTCAGCTAAATATAAATTATTATATTACGATAAATGCTGTGACATTACCCGACTAATTGATTAATGTTAAAATAGTTTAGTTCAATATTAACAAACAAGTTTTTTGCATATAATATTTAATAGTTAATTTTAATTTAGTAAGATATTATGATAATTGGAAATTCTTAATGAAGAAGAAATTCTTAACAGCAGTTGCCATGAATAATTCGCGACTAGATACCGTAAATGTCGCGCAGTTTTTCCAAGGTGTAAATCATTGTTGCCGAGTTCCGTTATAAAATCTTCTCCCTACTTCACTTTCCTGCAACAACAGCTGGACATAAATGTCTGTCCTCTGATGTGATTGCATCTGTATAATAAAGTGGAAAGTTATAATCAATGAAATATTACAATTTTACGTACATCGTAAATAAGTATGCAAAAAAGATTTCAGACAGGAAGATAAACTTTAACTCATCTATGAAAAAGAAGTTTTAAAAATTATTATTGAATTCTTTTATTGGGCGATTAACGCGGTTCCACGATATATAAAATATCGATATATGCTGTGGTAACATTTCAAAGTTAGAAATGGCTATTATAAATATCAATAGTAATTAAACGATATAGAGAAATATTTCAAACGAAAACCACAAGTGGTGGTTCAATAGTATCAAATTTCAAAAAAGAAAGAGAATACTCTTATTAATTGAATGAAAGAATTTTAAATTGTGATTATCTTACTAAAATATTAATCCTAGATAGAAAAGACGTAAGAATTCGAATATATTTGAGTTTGGAAAGCAATTTAAGAGAGTTTACACCGTATAACATTCGTCGATTAATGATATAGAGTAGAGCAAAGGTACGGAGTACGCTATAGTTGCATGTACAAAGGTATTACCTTTCAGAACCTCCAAAGTATCGCGAAAAACTTAGTTTTGCCGAGACGATAAATCATCTTGAAATTTGCCGAGCTGACAGGCATGTAGTTTTACGAAGACTTGCACGCAAAATGCAAAACAGTCCCCAACAGAGGCCGTGGGCTTGCACCGCAATTAATTAGTGTTTCGTGATACTCGTGCATGTGTCGAATTCTTATATTCTTTTTTTATATCAGATAAACTAAAAACAACTCGCACGATAAAATGACGCTATTAGATGATCCGTGGGACGTGTACATCACCATTCTCAAAGAATGAAAGATCTGTTTGACGATTAAGCTATGCTGTCACGGAATTTTACGAAAAAGACGAGGAAAGGTTAGTTTTTCTGATCCTTGAATTTTTGAGGTTCTATATTTACATTTGTTGCAATTATATTCTCTTCTTTTCTTAAATAATGTATTTATTCTTTGAATATTGATATAAATATTATTCTTTATTTATTAAAATTATCAACGATACACCATAATAATAATAAAGTAATCAAATTCGTTCATTTTTTAAAAATTCCCAAGACCAATTTAAGATAAAAAATATTTTCAACGATTAAATTAATAAAATAAAATTAAATAAAAGAGCACATAGAGGAATAAGGTATGAGATATAGAAGAGTCTGCCAAGTAAAAGAATAGGGTTTTTTTTTTTTTATTAAAATTCTTGCATCAATGAGAATTCTCATAAAATGCAAGCATATTTTGAAAAACTTCATAATCTATATATTTACTTTATATCCACTTATATAATCATGTATATTTACAATAACAATATGATTAATCTTTATAACATATTTTTTTGTATTACAAAGTCTCACTTTCGTTCGCCTGTCCAATATCAATGTCCCTAGATTTTTAATGAATGTTATAACGTTTTTTAACTTGCCGAAATGACGATATTGCGAATATCAATAGCTCGACTTTGTATTAATTTTTATATCACATCTAAGGATTAAATCGTTACAATTTATTTTAATTATTATTTTTTTCTTCTTATTAAATAATATTTTTAATTACTTTTTCAGTGCTTGAACGTTGTTGCGTAGGCCGACGTATCTAAATGGTGAATTTGAGAAGAAACGAAGAAACAATCCACTTGGGTAATAGTTTAGAATGTTACGATAGATTCGATAACACCTCGGATGCAACTCTTACAGAAAACAAGAAAATTTGTTTTTCAATAATTAAAATTTGTAACTCGCGTTAACATCAGGTACAATGCCCGCATCAACCTGATCGGCAGCGATTATATGATTCTTAACAATATCTTGTCCTTCATTGTCGTGAAACTTTTCAAGGAAGTTAAAACGATTCCATTTCGATCATGATTTCTTAACAAATCCGCTTTTAGGCGGTGGACCAACAAGTTTCTCGGATATAGGTGCGGTAGGATCTATTCCTATAACAGGATTATGTAATAGTTCATCTGTCTCATACACTGTAGAAGAATTTGGCGTGGGACACACTTGCAACGATAACGTTGGAAGTTGAGCATCTGTTTGAATACCAGTCGAGCCATATATTTCCTTTAAAATCAACAGCATGGTGTCCTCGGACTCCCTAAACAAAGGTACATAAATTTTTAAAGATATTTTAATTGATTGAAATTTACCTTTATCGATATTATACATATGATTCATTCAACGTATTAAACATTTCTACAAATATTACTAACCAATAACAAACGTGACTCGTCAAAGCAAAAATATACTCGTTAATGTATTCGAACGGAGCTTCCTGAAGAACGTAATCTATTCTTCGTCCATTATTCAATTTGCCCACTTTAAGTTCAACACCGCCGTCGTCGCTAGTTTGACGTTCCGGAACGGTTTGATGCAATTGTTCTTCCATAACTTTATCAATTTCACGCTCGAGCGTACCGTTATCCGGTTTGTGAAACAGCGCCAATTGATAAACAGAGTTCCATGTATTTCTCACGGAATCGAGTAACTTCTGTTTCAGATCCGCACCGACACGTGCCATTGTTCTTTTAATTCTACACAAAATGCACAATACATTAATATAATTTCTTAATTTCTAATTTGAAGATAAAAGAAAAAATACTTACCTAAATGCATTCTTTTCCGTCCTTTGTGATGAGGGATCAACATTGGTCGATATTTAGGAGCATCTGGGTTAATGAGCGCCTCGATCCTGTAAGCTACAGGATCAAAGGGGTGGAAGATATTGAAAAAAGCAGGGCACGTTGGCAATGCAAAGTCTTCTCCGAGCATATCGATGCCTCGAACTGTCACGAACATACCAATCGGGCTACCGAAAGCGAAAAAGGCACGTGGGTGAAAATGTAATTGCGTGTAATGTATGTAAGGCTGACCAGTCCCAGCAGCGCCTACTACGTAGCTTATTTTTTTACTGAGACGTCGTTTTAAGACACTATTGGGTAATTGAGAAGAGTCGACATCCTCTTGTTTCTGAAAAAAAATTCAAAAACTTTTCATTATTCATTAATATACAATTGTTTTAATGTTTTAGATTATTTTTAAGTATATATTCGAAATAAAATTTATTAAAAATCATCTCCGAATTTTCACACTTTATACATTTCTCTTTCATAATTGGATAAACATGATTTAATCACCTGTTCCTCGTTAGATTCGCTATCATTTTCATTCGATTTATCATCCGACAATGGTTTCTGATGACACAGAAGATCAAACAAAATTAAACTACCCAAAGAATGGCCGCCAAGATAAATTCCACCGTCGAAATCTGGATTTCGTTTCTTGAAAAGAGCATATAGCCTGTTCAGTTCATTTCCAACCGTTGTAATAATAGTTTGACAATATACAGGACTGGTATAAAAAAGTATGTCGAGCAACGTGTCGTTGGTGAAGTGTCGTAATTTCGATATACTATCCAAGGTGATAGCTTGTAGTTTCTTATCGATTCCAGTGTCGGAATGGAGCGTTGTATGCCACGAGATTGGCAAAACTTCTATCCTATTTACAATTCTCTGCTCACTAGCGGTTCGATAATGAGATTGTACCAATTGCAATGAAATACTTCGAAATTCGTCAACTGTAAATACAAAAATATTATGCATACATTTCTATAATAACTAAGAACTTGGTGAAAATAATTTTAAACGTACCGACTTCTTCCACAGTTCGAAATTTCAAATCACAGACGCTACCAATGCCGTGGACGAGGAACAGAACATGATCTACTTTTTCGGGCTCGCCATCCTCGATGTGGAACTCGTCAAGACCTCTTTTTATCACCCTAGGCCTACTACCAGCACCCTGTAAATATGTACTGTCCTCTGAGCCCTGTACAAATTGCGATTGAACATTTCTAACAGAATCATTTGTGCATAATGATAAAAATAGGTGGAAAAAAAAAAATGTTTAATTTAACGTAAAAGAAGAAGCAATGCAGAAAAATAAATTTGAAAATGATTCAACAAAATGATCAAGCATAAATTATACAACATAAAATTTTATGAAATGAATGTATATGTATATTAGTAAAAAAAAAATATAATAGTTAAATTGCATAAGATAAAACTGAATTAAAATATTAAATACATTAGATATGAAATAATTTAATACTTTAAAATAATGGAAAGATTAATCAATTCTTTGAAGTTTTATACAAAAAGACCATTACATTGTTTGTGACAATTATCTTACATATATATATATTATTAAAAAAAAATTCTTGTTAATATAAATATTTAAATATTGATATTTGAAAAAATTAGTAATAAAAATGAAAATCAATAAGAAGTTAAAAAAATTAAATAAAATGTATTATTTACCGCACTATTTCCCCATGACGCAGCCAATTCCGGTGAAGCAGCCGTCAAGTAGTGGACCTGAACGGAGGCACTGTGGAAGATAATGTATTCCCCATTGTTCAGATCGATCCTTCGATTCCAATTGTTGAGCAGACACGCTTGTTTATACTCTTCCTCGAGTTTACAAGCGGTGTTCTCGTCGTAAGGAACGTATCTCGATTCAGTGGGTCCTTTGAAGAACCACGAGCATCGCCTCACTTCCGTCGATTCTCCGCTCCAATAAACGGGTGATCTCTGACGTCGTAAAATGTCAACGTCGTAACGACCTCCATCGGTGGCGACTGTCGTTTCAGGGGTAATTTCTGTGGAATTATGAACCCCTTCTAGGCGTAAACTGTCTTGCATAGAGAACGGAACCCATAACACTTTGTGCTCCACTTTTTTGCGATAAAACCAATGGTGATACACTCTTCTGTACTGCATCCGTTTATCCGAAGAGCCAGCGGCCTGAAAGAAAGAAAGAAAGAAAGAATGTAAAACAAGGTAAACACGATGAAAATAAACAGAACGAAATGAAAGAAAAGAAAATAGAAACGAGAGAAACGAATGATTTACAGATTCATAATCATCGTAGTCGCATATTTTTACCAAATTCTGAAAACTTGGAGGCACACCGTCCGTAACTGCTCGTCCACCCAACGGATTAATTGACATCTGGACAGGATTTAACGTAGCCGAACCAGTTGGCTCGAGTACGGTCATAGAAGGCGCGGTTGGAAATTCAATCCCAATCCCGCTCGTTATATCGCACGTTTGCGCGGTAAAATTATCGAAATAATGTTGACTCGTCACTGGTGGCGGCGTGTACGTCGGTATTTGTTTCGGCAGTTCGTCTTGGAATTGAGCGGGATTGTAGAACAAAGGTTGTTGGGGTGATCGAGCAGCCGCGTTATACGTCGTAATCCCGGTCTCAGAGATCTGATTCGTATCCCACGGGGATCGAGATGCTTGAGGATTGGCGAATGTGGGCTCGATCGGGCTACACGCTGCTGGCACTTGTTGTTGCGAATCGTTATTTCTCGACAAAGTAGCCGCGTCTATTAATGGGGCATTGGTATTTTCTTTGTACTGGAAAACAGGGAACGAGGCGTTGCTCTCTGGCTTGTCGAAGAACGAGCTCGCTGGTTGGACGACGATCTTCGATGGATCGATGTAATTGGTGGAGGCTTCGGGAATGTAAGTCAGATTCGATCTCCGACGCTCTCCCGCAAAAAAGCCGGCACTCGATGCGAAAAGTTGCGGTTGATAATATTGTTGCACGGATTGCACGTTCGACGATACACCATGACTCCGCGTTCCATCGAACTTTCCTTGTTGTTGTGCGCTCGCTTCTTGACAAGTTATCGTTGAATGCGTTATCTCCGAGCCCTCCTTCCTTTCTAAAAACACGTCGCTCGATACGTCGGGCCTCGATAAATCGTTCCGTTCCTCGACCAATTTTACATCGTCATAATTTGCGATAGGCCGACACTCCGTCGCATCCTCGATTTTTGTTGATCTTTCCCCGGGAAGAGTAGACGGGTCTTGTTCACGCTCGGCGAGCAAGTGTTCCAACTTTTCCGTAACTTGAACCGCAGACACTGGGGCAAAGGTTACGCCAGGTTTCGCCTCAACGCCCTCTTTCGAAATCGGCAATGCCGCCTCTACCCGACTCCTCCCCGACGCTGCTCCTTTCTCCGTCCTCGAGGGGAAGTCTGGTTGTAAGGCCCCGTAAGTATCGTAGCCGAAATAATTAACGTTTGCAGGAGTGTTCTGCGGCGTGGTCGGTGGTTCTGGAATCGGTTGGGCCGACGAGGTGGCCGGGACAGCTAAATTCGAATTTTGACTCTGAGGCGTGACGCTTCTCGACGTACCTGTCGAGTTGTGAGCGACTCCAGCTATCGCCACGGGACTAGATCTAAACGACTCTTGCAAAGAGTTGGCCTGGGACAAGTGTTCGGGCGTGGAGCGTTGTAGAGAGGGTGAATTCGTGGAAATCGATGTTTCGACGGGTTGGCAAGTTGGATTCGTTCCAACGGGCTCGTTTGGATTAAATATATTCGGTGTTGGGACCGGGTTATGGGGTGTGAGAAGGGGTTGAGTCACGGGGGCGGAATACTGTTTGGATGTGTTCGACGTTAAATCGGGCGGTGGCGCGTACTTGAGGCGTCTTTGATTGCCCAAACGGTACGATATGGGGCCTGAAACGAAAGAAGAGAGCAAAGTTGAATTATTTCCTTCGTGTTAAACTCGTTCACGCGATTTTACAATCTCTTCGACACTTGAGAATTTTTATTAAATGAGTTTACGTATCGATATATATATTCTGAAGACTTTGTTTTTCTATACATTGTCACTATCAACGATGATAAAAAAAAAAAATATATAGAAAAAAAACGTACAAATGTATTACTTTTCTCGTAATAATATAATTAATAACGAGTTACGTACGTGCAAAATATTATTTGCAATATAAAGATTCGTGGTTTCTATCTCTAATTTCCAATCTCTTTTTTTTACTTTTCAAAACTAAGCACCGCAGATGCGTCAGATTTCACAATGTTATTTGCAGCTTTCGCAGAGATGGGTAAACAATTTATCCAATTTACCGTTCGTCGTCGAAGGAAGCGTAGGCGGCACCGTCGACTGAGGCGGGGCTGGCAGCAAGCTTCCACCACTTCCGGGATTAACCTCGGCGAATCCCGTAAAATTTGCGCGTCGAGAATCGTGAAAATTGGCGATTACAGACGGTGATGTGTCCCTGAACGAGTCACGACGGTCGTGCAAAGGCACATGAGGCTTCGTATTTTGTACACCGGCTACGTTCTCCGCTCCTTGACTCGGCTGAGACCCGGAAGACCCGTCGCCTGTGATCGACGACAAAGATAAATTCGGCAAAGAGGAAAGGATCGAAGTCAGGTAACTCTGCTTCGTTGGCTGGCTCGTTGTTGGATTCCTGTTCTCCTCGGAATGCAAGGGTATCGGCGTGAATTCGCTATCCGTATCGGGTACAGTCGCTAAAGTTTCTGAATTGTGCAAATTGGCCGGCTCCTGTTCTACGAAGTTGTTCGATTCAGCGTCTGAAAACAAAAATGTCGATGAATTTTTTTTGCTACAGTTTGTTAAAAAAGAAGCGATGTCAAGGAACGCACAAGATGATTTTATGGTCATATAATTGCCTTTCGCCAAGTTTTGCGAAACAACAATCTATTTTCGTGAAATTCTAGTTTTCTCTTGCGCAAATTAGATCATCGTTTCAAACAATTTCTAAAAATACCCAATTTCTGGAACATCGAATTTTTTATTTAAGAAATAATGCGTGTAGTAGGAATTAAATCACAAGTTGCAAACATTCGAAAGAAATTCTACGTTTATGTTTGATCTTCGATAAAAATCTGTCGAGTTCGAATAAATCATCTCGATAAAGCTTGAAACGTCTCTCATGAAGTCTCTTGTTAAAAAGCCTGGAACAAACGAGACAAACGATCCAAATTCTTGAGAAAACCCGCAATAACGTATAATCCGTGCGACGTGTGTAAACCGTGTAGCAATCCACACAGGCTCGGTTATCACACGACACGAGGTTCAAAGATCACAAACTGTCCACGGTCTCTTTCCACGTAATGGCGTATTAATCGTGACACCCTCGATACCTTGGAATCTCGGCTGGATTATTCACAGTGTGTCAATATTGAACAGGATACAATGAACGTAAGTCCCCGATGACAAAGATAATGGCCTGTATCTCTCACGATCGCGGCTGGCATCCTGTCAGATCTCGGATTACCGATTTCTATACGCGGCCGCACATCCTGTACACGCGTGTACACACATCAAACACCCGCGATTGTGTAACAATGCCGCGTTTACACCTAGATTTACTTTGCGGCCAGCTCGTTATCGTCCACGTAATTGGCGGACACCTTACCCTTTTGTAAACGAGCTACGCCCGCAACTTTATAAGTAACTGTCTCATTTTTACGGCGAGTCTTCTTTTCACAACAGTGAACCCGAAAGATCGATTGCGCTCGATGCAACCATGCAAACGTTTTATACGTGTTTCTGGTTCTCCTTACTTTCTTACTCGATGCGGATTAAGTGTAGGGCAATCTTCGTGGCCGCTTCGAATCCCGAAGCGAGCGGGGATTTCTCTTCGAAGGAAAATTGGAAGATTTGGAGGCGATCGTCCGTGGATTTCGAAGATCGACGGATGCAACGCGGCCTCGACGATTTCCGGATATCGAATCATTCCGATTACTACGAGGAAAATGTTTTCTTCTCCACGGATAAGTGTTCCAGGTGAGACGATGGTGAGAGAACGTTAATTTTCGAAAGTGTCTTCTTATCGAGAGATCGTTCTTATTAATCGTAGTGATATAACACGAGATTATGTATAAGAAAGATACTTCTTGGTGGGATTATTATACCGAGAATAATTCGATTTATATTCATTTATATGGAATAGGAAATAACGAATTAAACTTTCAATTTGTTCTAAAGGTATTGTATCAAACGGCAGATCGATAAAAATGAAAACAGTGTACAATACATTAATCTATTTTGGACAAATGGTATCGACGCAATGGGTAAGATACGAATGGAAAAACAACAGTAAATAATATTAATATGCAAATGTTCAAATATATCAGATCGGTCAGTCTCAAAAGATGATTCGGAGTTTTTGTCAAAGACGGAATGGACAGATGTACGAAATCCAAACATCATTCAACATAGAAATTGTCAGGTACGAATCGAGCGTAATTAATATTGTTATTTCAATAATATCCAATGATACTTTTTATGAATATTTTTAGATTTACCTTGACCTAGATTGTAACATCACCGAAGCGAGAACTAATTCGAATTATGCGAACAGAGAATTCCACTTGGGCGTGGAAAAGGACAAAGGAAAGAAAATTGCAGATATCGTAAGTGTAATTATCAGATCCGCATCTTTGAATCATACGTGCCAAGCGGAGTACATTGATCTAACTCGAACTCGATCGAACTTTCACCAGATAAAAATAGCAGAAAAATACAATTTGACCAAATTGACGCAAATGAACTTCTCGGTCGACAACACGACCCGTAGAATCGTCATAGACATCGATGGAAACGTTTCAAACGCATTGCTTCGAATACCTACGAGTAAGTTCCTCTTTAAAAACATTTAAAATTTAGAGTAGAGCGATAGTCAAAAAACGGAATAAATTAAAGAAATGTAAACCGTTTACGTCAATGCAAAGGTTGCACTTCGAACCACGTGTTTTAATACTAGAGACGGCCAATTTCATCGCGTGTCGTAAACTAAAAATAATTTTCAATGCCTGGTAAGAAGGTTGACGTGGCGATTAATCATCACACGATCATTTTTGTATTCCGTGTTCATTGTTCGTTATGACACGCGTTATTTCAAACGTAATCATCATGATTTTATGTGCGATCGTCAATATGAAAAATATATATATATATATATCCACGTAAAAAATTTTTACTATGCCTCTTTTAGCGAAACGTTTATCTACATTTTCAAAAAGACCTTCAAATTATTAATTATTTCTGTAAAGAAATCTTATCTTTGCATATTATTTATAACCGTTATAACGAACAACGTTTAAACATTTTTCGTTCATTTCAATTTATTATAACAAGAGTGTATTAAGATTGTGAACGAATTAGAGAATTATCGAGTTCTCATTGTTATTATTTAGAAAGAAACTATAAAACGATAAATATATTCATACACATACCTAGATATTGACTAAGCCTAATAATAGAATTCCGCAATATCGAATAAGTTGAAATATTTTTTAATTTCATATCGATAAATTGTTTATCGTGTTCTTTTTTTTTTCGTTATTACTACTTTTTTTCTATTATTTGCAAAAAAATACCTTTCAGACACTGTCAAATTCACTACGTATCTTACGCACAACACAAACCTTTTACAAATGAGACAAACCTATCCAGGTATCTTAGTTTTACCAAGAGATAATCCCAAATGTATTATTCTTTCCTTTTGCTTTGTTCACAGCCACTTTCATATTTTCAGGTACGTTCAGTGAAGTTCATAGTATCGACCGCTTCCCAGTTTCGGTGAATTCCGTCTGCACTCGTTGTATCGACACTAAACGATTCTTTCATTTTAGAAAATACCTATCCACTACGTCATCGCACGCACAAATCCATCGATTGTGTTTTCCTTATATTCATTCTCGTCGATTTGCCTCAAACTATCGAAACGTTCGATATCATCTAGTTCGTCGTTCCACGTTCGACCAACGTTTCTTTCACGAGCGAATTGATCACCGGTTATCGACATTGGAAAATAATGAATTTGTTGAAATTCGAATGTATGCACAATAGCTTATTGTATTCCAATAATTAACAGATGCAACAATTTCGAGGCACGAAACGATCATATCTTGGACGAGTAAAGGCGATGCGGAAGGTGTGCGAATTGATACGCGGAATCCGCCATCTGGCGAGTGGCGATTGAAGCTCGTAGGGGAGGATGGTTCGAAGTATCAATTGACGGTGACGGGTTTCGTCGATGAGAATTGCGATGAAATGAGAAATCTTTCTCTGGTGAAATCACAGGTGAAAGGTGAGTAAGAATTTTTATCGATAAATGAAAGTGATCGAGACGAATTTCGTTCTTTCCCTTTTTCGAGCATATTATATTCTCCAAATTTTGTACATATTAATACAAGAAGAAATTAAATATAAGAAAACGAAGGAAATATAGATATAGATGCAACTATTACATCTACATTGAAATATGTAATATAATGTAATATTTATGTAACATGTTTATATAATATGCGGAAGAGATAAGAATGAAAGTGAAATCAAATCGTAAAATAATTCAAGAAATACGATGTTCATAATTATATGAAAATATAATGCAGTAAAGTATAAATAAATATGAAGTATTACTAGTGTGATACTAAATCAATATTATCGATTTCGATCAGTAAATTATGATACCGTATTGAATAGTGTCAAACTATATATATATAAAATCTATGTATAAAACATAATCGATAATTAATATCAAAGTATAGATAGCCATCCTTTTAAATTAGAAATATTCTAATAATAATATTCTAATAATATTCATCGAAATATCGAAATATTTTAATAGAAAGAATTAATTATTATTCTTTTCTTTAAAGATAAAAAATCAATTGTTTTGATATTAAAAAGTTATTTATTAATTATTCTATGGTATTCAATATATTTTATCTTTCACGAAAAAAAAAGTTTGATTGCACAAAATCTTAACTTGAATATAATATTAAACGAAATTTAATGATAAAATATTATCTAGAAAATATATTCATAGAATATTTACAGAATATGGAACTATGCATATTAGATAAACAATAATATAAAAAATTATTTTCTATATCAAACAACAAACTACTTCAAAATATTTATTATATTATTTAGTCGCAGATAAATATATGATGACGTCATGGAAAATTTACAATTAAGAAAGATTGAATATTCCGAACAATCCTTTCATTCGGATGCATAAAAACATAAAGTAGATACTGAATTTAAAAAAAAGCGAAATGTAATACAAATTTCATAAACACTGTGTATAGCACATCATCTACATATAAATAACATGATTGATATGTGTTTATAAAATTTAAAAGAATTCGTATTCAACACATTTGTTCGTCGAAAGCTAATCTAATATTCAACATTGATATATATATGTACAAACACGGTCAACAAAACTAATATCAAATCGATATAACCATCAACACTATCGTTATCATCCACTGTTAAAGACGTTATTTTAGAATATTATCATTACATATTAAAAAAGCGTCAAACATCACGTTATTTGACATGGAAACACATATACGTTCTTAATGAACATTCAGATACTAGCAAAGTGTTTAAGCTCGCCATTTTACTTTATTACAATACTATATTACTAGTACTAAATACTATTAACACAATAAATATCGAAAATTTTATTTTGCAAATCTCTCGTGAATACCAATTCGCAATATCGAGAGCTTATCTAAATAATTTTATGAGAAGAAGTATCAATCGATAACAAGATGAGAAAAAAATTCCAAAGATGAGTTACCTATATCCAAGATTACCAAAACGAATTTTCGACGAATGCATATATCGCGAGCTGTCGGCGAACAGCGTTGTGTTCGCTTACGTTTCCACCTTGTATCGTATACGAGACTTGTTCACGCCGCGTCGCCCATCTGACAACTGCCAACCGACTTCGTTTCTGGCTCGAAGATACACGAACTATATTGTGCAACACGTGACACGACAAGCTGCCCTTTGATCAGCCAACACGCAGGTTGCTGACGCACTCAGGAAGAAAAGCGAGTTTTATCCTTTTCTTCTCTTTTTTTTCTCGACGATTTATGTTCAATATTCAACACATGCAACAGTAGTCAATGGAATACGCGAGAACAAGATTTCTGGGAAAAATGCTGGGATCGAGAATTTTACGCAGTTCTATTATTAAACCAGATTATACCTTATATCTTACTTCCGATTTCGCATGCGTTTATGTGTACGTATACGCTCGCTACGGTATGCGAAAACTGTCGACACTGATTACGTTTCAGCACGTCTCCGTTCTATTCACGCTCACTGACCGAGTTCACTGGTTTACTGACGATCAACATCTTATCTTGTTGAAAGTTTTAATTTTGTTAAGAAGCATTCTTCTTTTTTTTTTTTTTTTTTTATTTTCAATCGTTTGATCATACGATTGCAACGATCCGAAGGAAACATTTATATCTGTTTACGTATAATTTACGTAGTTAGTTAAAAAATAACAAATAACGATATAATTGATCAATCTTTAAACATACGATCATCTTTTACGAACAAATAGATAATAATTTGACATTGTTTTCTAATATTTCATTATATATGTTATTATGAATCCTTGATAATTAGAATCTATTAAACAAATATTACGTTTCATAAATTAGATAAAATTGTTTCTTCGTATAAATATTATTTATTATTCCTTAAATCGTGATAATCGTATAATATATAATTTTAACATGTTATCTTGATTTTTATCTGGAATTTTAAAATAATTCAAAATTATTTTTGAGTAGTTTGATTTGTGTATAAACATTTAGTAAATATTAATTATAATATTAAATATCGAATAAAATCTTATTACTATAATTCTGATTTTTAAGTTCCCATGTATAAAACTATTTAGAATTATTTAAATAAAGTATATATGAAAATTTGTATTCCATCTCATAATGAAATTGTTTGTTTATAGAAAACATCAATGAAGATACGATTAAAAATTATCGTATAAATATTGAGACAAAGGATGATATATCAGGAAATGATAAGGAGAGATTTAATAATGAAGCAACGGTAGTGTATATGATATTCGGAATAAAAAAATAAATAGTATCAACATTGTTATCTATAAAAAACAATTGTATCAACAAACAATGTATCAACGCATTTTTTTTTCAGAAAATTAATTCTGAAAAAATTTTGGTGAAACAACAAAATTCAAATGCATCGATGAATTCTAAAGTGATGGAAAATAAAAAAATAACTCAAGAAAGATCATTGACATATCGTATGCGAGATCAAAAAGAAAACAACCATTCGAGAAAAGAAAATTTTAGCGATAACGATTTATCGATAATAACCTCTAGCACTGAAAATATGCTTATTAACTTCGTTGAATACGTTACTCTCGTAGACGTTGACAAAAATGTAATTACTACATCTAATGAAAAATTTTTGGAAACAAAGGAGGTAAAGAAATTAAAATTGATATCAATATAATAATAACAATAATATTATAATTATATAATAAATAAGGTAAGTATTTTATTTATTTCATTTCTATCTCATGTATCGTAAAAGGATTTTAACGATCGAAAAAAATGTTAATGATAATAATTAATGATAGCAAAAGGAATATGAGTCAATGAATAACTGTATTTTCAAATATATAATTCTCAAATAAACTTTATATGACTTCATTGAAAGAATATAGTATGTATTGGTTAATAATCTATTTCTTTTGTTTAAAATAATATATGATTATATAATTATTAATAGTTATATTAATAATCCTTTTAAATCATATTTACATATTTAAATATTTCTCACTCATAAGTTTTATCCCTAAATTAAAAATTGTAAACACTTATACGCATTTATATATATTTATCTATTATCATTCTATTATTTATAAAGTTATATCATAATATTAGTATCGAAGAAAATTCAATAACGTTTGCGAATTCAATTTTAGGATGTCTTCGCGCTAAAAAATTAATATTAACGTATCGCAAACATTAGAAATATTATAAAACAATGTTTACACAATAAAACATATTGTTGATTCAGGAATGGGAAAATCTTCGTACAAGATCCTCGATTGAAGTAATTGAAAATCTTGACGTTAAGAGAACTCCAATACAGAAAAACATTAACATATCGACGAGAATGATCGAAACTCTGGATAATAAAGAAATGTCCGAAGAATTGATAAACCATGTCAATGAAAACACCATCGAGGAGAAAAAGATGCTGATTGAAGTGAATAGAAATAGCAATTTGCTTGTTATACCGGGAACTATACACAGAATAGTATTCGATGTGATGAACAAATGCGTTTTACCTGTTAGATATGCATTCAGAGTAAAGAGCAATCCCTTTAGGTTATACAATATTCAACCATCCTAGTAAGTTACTAGATATATTTTTAATTATTTTTATTTTTTCATTCACTTTTTACTTGTCTTTTACATGATAGATAAAGACTAAAATTAAACCTGCAAATTTTGAAATAGCAAGTGCTTGAAAATTAAAATTAATTTTTATCATCATAAAAATACAAACAACAACAAAAAAACTCTATCTAATCTAGTCAGGAAATAAACAATTCATATGAACTGAAATCTATGAAAGATTTAATAATTCATCTTATTAAGTTCAGATAAATTTAATTCAACTAATTGAATAAAAGACTTCGTTCTATTAAAAGAAGTTTTATTCTATTTGAATTTTTCTGCGATATAACATATAATTTTATCTTTTTCTATTGATAATTCGATTATCAGCAACCTAATTTAAGTGCATATAATTATCAATTATACGTATAGTAATATAATTATAGTAAAATATCAATATCGAGAATCTGTCAAATTTAAATTAAATTATTATATGTACATCAATTAAAAATTATCTACATTTTATCCATATCGAGTTATTAATATCAGTTAATCTCAATCAATGATTGTACTTTTAATATTATATGATTGAAGTTATTAACAATCTCAATTTTTTATGTGATAATATTCTATTTATTATTTATATTGCAGTGTATGGATTTATCCTGGACAGATGAGCAATGTAGCGATAGATTTGATTGTACCCGATAATGTCGCACCACATACAGTTAATACAGTCACCTTATCTATCTCGGGTACTGAAATAAAGGAAAAATCTGTATATTTATATGTACAAGGGTCACTTTCAAAGGTAATCATTAAAAAAGTCGATCAGAAAAACCAGTAATTTTCATTATAGTGTGTTACAATATCTAGCTAACCGATGATATAAAGCCAATTATCGAATATTCTTTCAATGATAATTGCGTTGGAAAATTGGAAAAAAATCGATGCTATAAATCTCATTGGAGCGTTGATGTTACGATTCAAGATCATGATTCAGGTATTGATTAAATTTTTTACAAAGAATTTTAATTAAAACAAAAATAGAATTTTTTTTTACAATTCAACATAAATAAATTAACATGAAATTAAATTTATTGCTTTATTCATATTTATTTAATATAAACTTGTACTTATTTATATATATATAATGCTCAAACATTTTAAAAATTTTATTTAAATAATATTACTGTAGATTTTATATTTTCAATTTATTTTAATACGTTTACAAAAAAAATTTTTCTCTTTTGTATGTAGGTTTAAAATGTGTAATATCATCACTAAATGATATTTATCCACGTACAGATTTTATTAGCGGTACAAGAAATCCTATAACATTTTATTATTCTGCTACGTGTTGTGATAAAACGGTTAAAATTACAGCTATAGATTTACTAAATAATTATAATACTATAATTATAGATGTTACAGGTAATTATTACATTAGTATTCTAATTGTTGATATTTTATTATTCAATAAATAAATATATAAATCAAATATACAAAAATTTATTATTAATATATTTTATTATTAATATATTTTAAATTTATTTTAAAGTTTTCATTAATTTAAAAAAAAAATATTACAGAAATATTTTCTATTTTTTTTAACAAAAAAATGTGATCTAAATGTGATCTATCCTTCATTAAATGTGATCTATCCTTTCAGCATGGAATAACTTATCAGAAGCAGAAATTGCAGCTATTACAATGGGAGCATTGTTAGCTTTGTTGCTTATTGTTTTAATTGTTATTTTAATCATATACTGTGTTCGAAAAAGAAAAAGTCATGATTTGCCTTATACACAACGATATGGATCTAGGCCACCTACACAATCAGAAAGAACTAATTTCTAATTCTTTATTAATACTGAAATATATATATTAATATAATATATATTGAATATATAAATTTTATTATTATAGAAACTAATGTTATAACTATCACAATTAAATTATATTTATACAAAATATATCTACATAAATGTAAATGTACATAAATTACTGTTATTAAATTTTAATCTAATATAAAATTTAAATATATAATATTATGATTTTAATATTGATATTAAGTTAAAAAAATTATATAATTGTAAATTTAAAAGTTTAAAAAAAATGAAATACTGAAAAAACAAAATCTCTTTCAAATGTTTTGTATATTTATTTCTATTATTATAAAAATGAAAAACAAAATAAGTCTTTATTTTACAATTATATAAAATCATATAATATTAAATCTAACACAAATTTAATTTTTAAACAAAATATATTAAATTATTGAATATTTTTCTTTTGTAAAAGATTTTTAAAATTAGTAAAAAAAAATAATATTCATATAACAAACAATGTACATATTTGCCCAAATAATACTTGTAACGTGAAAATTAAAAATAAAAGGAAGAAAATAATTATGATATCAATTAGTTTTATAATAAATATCTATTCACATATTTTGTCACGTGTTAACACGATTATGAAAATATGAATCTATAAGAGCCCCACCCAGGTACTTCATTAACAAACTCACCATCGCGAAGCATCGCAGGTGTTGCAGGCGTAACAGGAACCAAAAATGCATTTTCAGTGTAATTTTCAAACGGGAAACCTTCACCAGCTGCTGATAATAATGGATTTTTCACTTTTCGTGATGCACCACTCATATTTGTAGTGACTTTGGCACTACGCAACTTAAAAATACTGCCATCCAAAGATAACTAAACTACAAATTGCAAAACACTGTCAATCCACCATAAACTATAAACATTTAACCTATACTCTATAGCGCCACGTCTACATAAGTAAGTAGTACATATATGTGTAATAGAGGTCGCATATGAAAGGCGAGCAAAACTAATATCCGAAAGACTTGAAGACATTGCTGCTCTCTATAGAAATACATGTGCGCATGCGTTATTTTCCATGATTATCTTCAGAGAATTAATCTTGGAAAATTAATTTTTTTTAACTAAAGGAAAATTATAAAACATCTTTTATTTTTAATTTCCATATATTTAATAAAAATATCAATATCATTTTAATATTAAACATAAAAATATACTTTTTCTATTTAGAAAGATAAATATTTTTATTCTTCGACGCGGGAATTTCAAAATAATTTCAAATATGATTTCAATTTCTAAAGAAATAAAAAGTTTTCTTTTTTCGAATATTATATAAAATTATATAATTAATTTATTATAATCTTATTCTACATTGAAGTAATAATAATTAAATAAAAAGTATAAATAAATTGTATAAAAATATTTATTAGCTATAATATAATAATAATAATAATAATAATAATAATAATAATAATAATAATGATGATGATGATGATCTTCCGTTAGTAATAATTGTTTTAAAAATATATATATGTATATTATATATATATTATATATTATATATATATAATATATATATAAA